GTTTTGTCTCGGGACCCTGGATCACTGAAATCAGTCTCAGACACCTGTGATGATTTGTTTGCCAGGTGAGCCCACTTGAAAGGAAAAACTACAGGATGTTCCATATTACACTGCCTGGACAAAAAAAGAGTCGCCACCTAGATTTAACTAAGCAAATAGGTATGAGCCTCCTATTGGATAATTACTGCGTGGGCCATTATCTTTCAGCTGGCAACAAGTTATTGAACCCCAACAGGAGCAATGAGTCGCTTCTTATTTCTTAAACAACCATGTGGAAAGACATCCTGTGGTCGTTGAAGGGTCAAATCATTGGCATCAAGCAGAGAAAACATCTAAAGGAGATTGCAGAAACTACTAAAACTGGGCTAAGAACWATCCAATGCATTATTAAAAACTGGAAGGATAGTGGGGACCCATCGTCTTTGAGGATGCACCCGTCACTAAATGCCTGTGGGGGCAGTGCYATGATCTGGAGTTGTCTAGGAAGCGTATCGAAACAATGCCACAGCAAATGTGTGCCGTAATCAAAGCTAAAGGCGGTCCAATGAAATCTTAGAGTGTGGGACCTTTTGGTGGCAACTTTTTTGGCCAGGTAGCATATAAACCAGACCAACATTTTCAACTAATATTAGGGAAAGAAAAAGGATCTCAGATGCTGAAAAGCAAGAACTAGTTGAAGGTTTTGGACAAGGAACGAAACCCTTATATTTCACAAAAACTTAAGAGGATCATTTTACCACGAACCAGTATCCTCCAGAGGTTTGCAGTTCAGCATAAACCTACTCAGCAACCCCTAASCAATGCTCAACGGAAATGGCTGAAGTGAGTCCAGAAATACATCAAGACTAAAGTCATCTTCATGCAGGACAATTCACCATCTCATCTCTCACTCTCAAGGAATACCTCTGCATCATCAGCTGCCAAGGGCATGAACTGAGAGAAACTTGTTGAATTATACTTTAACAGCTAATAACTTCAAAATTATGCTGACTGTCATTTGTATCAACTACTCAGGAACAGAGAAAAATATAATTTGCGTAATAATTTGGAACGCAGTGTATAAGACTCAAGTAGCAAAATTTGTCTGGTCCGCTCTCTGGCCCACTCACAAGGCACTAACAGTTGGTCCAAATACCACAAAGAATGACAGCCCTTTGGTGGCCCAGATGTGATTTGCCAGAGGTGGTCCATGCATTTGCCAACACCACATAAACTAAACCTCAACTGGACCAGTTGTAATTTCTCTTTGGGATTAATGAAGTATTTTCGAATTGACTTGAATTGATGTTGAATGGGACATTGTGGGTTGGTGGGCAAAATACTTCCAAGACCTCGTCAATCCCACCGACACATCTTCCCATGAGGAAGCAGAGCCTGAGGACCCTGAGTCGGACTCTCCAATCTCTGGTGTTGAGGTCACTGATGTGGTTAAAAAGCTCCTCGGTGGCAAGGTGCTTGGGGTGGATGAGATTCCCCCGGAGTTCCTTAAGGCTCTGGATGTTGTGGGGTTGCATTGGTTGACGCGACTCTACAATATCGCGTGGACATCGGGGGCAGTTCCCCTGGATTGGCAGACCGGGGTGGTGGTCCCCCTATTTAAAAAGGGGGACAGCAGAGCATGTTCCAACTTTAGGGGGATCACACTTCTGAGCCTCCCTGGTAAGGTCTATTCAGGGGTCCTGAAGAGGAGGCTCCGTYGGATAGTCGAATCTTGGATTCAGGAAGAGCAGTGTGGTTTTCGTCCTGGTCGTGGAACAGTGGACCAGCCCTACACCCTTAGCAGGGTCCTGGAGGGTGCGTGGGAGTTTGTGCCTTCTCCGGGTCAGGGAGGAGGTCCTGCCCCAAGTGGAGGAGTTTAAGTATCTCGGGCTCTTGTTCACGAATGAGGCAAAAATGGAGCGGGAGATTGACAGGCGGGTTGGTGCTGYGTCTGCAGTGATGAGGACGCTGTACCGGTCTGTCGTGGTGAAGAGAGCTGAGCCAGAAGGTGAAGCTCTCGATTTACTGGTTGGTCTACGTTCCTACCCTCATCTTTGGTCACGAGCTTTGGGTAGTGTAGCATTTTCCTGCATATAAATAATCATTTCTGATTAGATTTCACTTGTTCCTATGACAACAGCTCAAAGAGGAAGAAAACCCCCACTTTAACTTCAGACTATTTTCTAAAGACTTTTGCATGGAACTTCCTTTGTGGCTCGAATTAACATCTCTHACACAAACCCCCACCAGACGTCCTGACGCCTTACTGTTAATAGATAAGAATTGCCACATTCCTGTTCCGAACCCCACAAGTTCTGTTGCTTCCATCCCCCATAAGCAC